TGATAATTTTCTCTATTGCTCTGTAATCCATCTATTTCCTTCTATAAATGGAAGGCTACGGTTTTGGTTAAGGTCCCAGAGAATTAACACACTGTAGGTATAGGCATGGCATGGAGTGAAGTTCATCATGCTTGTCACCATAGAGAATCTCTGTCATGGGAGGTCACTCCTGATCCCCACTTCTCACCAGCAGTTGGCCTTAGAGACTCACCCCTAAACCAGCAGAGCAAGATGAGGAGTCCCAGAAGGGGGTGCTTGTCCATTTTGGAGGGAGAGAGAGGCCCAGGTTAGGATCTAAAGCTTTTGTGAGGACCTATTTATACACTTGCAAGTTGAGCTTCCCCAGGAAGGATTGGGGGAGGGGACACTGTGGAAGTCCTTGGAGGGCATGTTCTGCTCCTGAAGAAACTAGTAGCTCTGCAGTTTCTCTTCTTGGTAACTTGAGGGGAGAAGACCTGGCTAAAAAAAAGTCCTGGATCCTATTTGTTCCAGTCTTACCACTCAGGATTTTTGATGCCAAGTTTTATGTTATTTTCAGTCTCTGGCATTGTGAAAGGGCACAGGATAAATCAGAGCTGGATGTGTGGGATTCAGAGTGGTTTACACCAACTACCCACTAAACCTGAGGAAATAAATAAGTATAAATAATTAGAATGTGAAAAGGCAAAAAGGAGGCTGAGCACAGACACTCAAAAATTATATATAGGGAATGGAGAAGAGAGGAGATGGAAAGGTTAGGCTCATGGGTCATGACAGGGTACTTTCATGAGGGGACTAAGCTTTCCCACTGTCAACCAACTCAGAAGGAAGCAGATCCTAGTGTAGAAGATAAGGAGAAAGGAAATGCTTCCTTTTCTTGGTGTTTCATGGTGGTCAGGACTTAGATTTTAGTCAGGGGAGAGGTTTATCATTTTTTTCCTGGAGGGAGATAAGCATGTCCCTCTCACATTATGTCAGGCCAGGTTACTAAGCAGAGGGCTTGCTGAAGTAACCTGGAGTTACTAGAGTCTGGAGGGGATAGAAATTGCATATTTAAAGAAATGTAACTATATTTCATTCTAAGTTCTCTGTTAGTTTCCTTCAATTACCACAGTAAATTGTAATGAACTTTGTTTAGTTTGTGTGATTGTTGTGGAAAACTGAGGGAAGGGTTCATGCCCATACCTAGGGCAACAAAGCAACACAGGGGAGGAAAGCAGGTAGAATTAGGGCATAACACGGTGTTTAGAAAAGTGGAACAGTGATCTATGCCAGATGTTGGATGGAGTGAAAGGGATGACAAAATGGATGTGCAGAAGAGATTTTTGGATCCATGTTGTTTTGGAGGCTACCATGTGTGAAAGGAGTAAGCTGGCATTTCTAAACAAAGAGGAAGACAGGTACACACTAGGTAACTGCTTACCTGGAGGCTCCTAGTATCTTAGTGAAGCTTTGAAGTGTCACCATTTTTTTAAATACTTTTATTTTATTTATACCCTAACCCTATGTGTTGATCAGAAGATGTTCAAATTATGGGCAAAGATCTTTAGTTTGTATCTCCAGTGTTTATGCATGTCAATAAAAAGGATATTTTTTGGATGGAAATTTACCTTATTTAAAAAATAGATCTATTGTTTGCAGGTAATATAGGAAAATACATGCTGAAATTCATTGATCCTTGAGATGTCTTTACATAATTACCTCCGTGAATAGGTGATGAAGCTGGTAATGAGCAGCAGGATTTGAGGAAGGAGGCCTCAGTAAAGATCCCCCATGTGATAAGGTGAGAAACTAGAGGAAGAACCACAGTTGCTATTCCAATGCCGCATAGATGACTTTATATTCCTGGAGTTTCCCCAGGGCCCATAGGACTTGTACTAATGATCCTGGGGGTGAGAGAAGAACAATTTCTTTGTCAGAAGAACAATTTTTTTTTCCTGAGGCCTTCTTCCTCAAATCCTGCTGCTCATTACCAGCTTCATAACCTATTCACAGAGGTTATTATGTACAAACATCTCAAATACCAATGAAATTTAGCGTGTATTTTCCTGTATTACCTGTGAAGAGTAGATCTATTATTAAAATAAAGTAAATTTCCATCCCCCAAATACCCTTTTTATTGACAGGCATGATAACACTGGAGATACAAACTAAAGATCTTTGCCTATAATCTGAACATCTTCTGATCAACATATAGGGTCATAATTAACTACCTAGTCTTTCTCAGAGTTGAAGTTCAGGCAATGGTCAAATCAGAACATCCTGTCCCTTTCCCCTCAGGCAAGTGAACAGCACAGCTCTGGGTGACTAGAATTAGAGGAAATCAGAGTTCTACCCCTCTTGAGGGACATGAAGGACAGAGGAAATATCTAGACAGCATGTGTGAATCTGAGAAAGGCTATATAAAAACTGTCTCTGGGGAGCTTTGTGTGTATTATTTTCTACCATGAGATTTGCCATCCCCTAGGATTTTCTGGGAATCTAAAAATGTTTCAATTTCATAGAGAGTTTTTTCCTATTGTGCCAAGAGTTGAAGAAGATCTCACAGACATTGAGTTACTAGGGAGGTAGATTTAGGATTCAAAAATGAAAAGATAGTCAATAATTTATCCATTATTCCAACAGTAGCATGAATTAAATAAAATTTCCCGTATTTTTAATGCTGCATCAGCAAACCTAGCTACACCTTAGAACTCTTTCTAAAGATAACCTCAGCTGGGGAGAAATTAGGGATTCCTCCATTATGTACAATGGTAAATTCACCAAAATATGGAGTCCATGCCCCGAGGCCTCTTTGTAACCTTCCAGTCTGCTCAGGTGGCACATAATTGCCTGTATGGCTATTCTTACTTCATTGTTGTTTAATATTTCCCTCCAGACTATAAAAATAATCTGTGTTCAGAGAAGTTATCCTGACAATCTTACCTAAGCCATTTTCCCCTTGTTATTTTCTGTGTGTGTGTGTGTGTGCGCGTGTGTGTTTGGTGGGGAGGTTATATTGGTAAAATAATACCTGGACTAGAAAAGGCATGAAACATACATTCATATCTTAAATTATTTAAAGCAAAGAGTATAAGCTCTAAAACAGACCAAAATATTAAATTTTGTCCATGCCACAGAAAACCCCACACCAAGGGCTCCTTACTAATCACATTCTGTTTTTCCTTTTTTAGCATTATCCTTGAATTTATGGAATCTAGCCATCATTTTATTTTATAATTTATTTTATTCTATATTTTGCCTGCTTTGAATATTGATATAAGTGAAATCATGTACAAGTTCTAGGGATTACTCATGTATTTATATAAAGCTTTATTTTTCTACAATATAGTGTTTCATTACATGAATATTATGGCTAAAAATTTTCTAGTGCTCATGGAAAACACCAGCCAGACATTCAAGAAGCCCCCAAATCCTAAGCATGATAATGACATTTCAGAAGGAATATTTAGACAGCCGAATAATCAATTAGGAGGAAACTATGTTATTGTGATGATATTTTCAATATGCCAAGGGAAGATAACCACCAACATTTTCTCTGAATTCAGAGAAAATTTTCTTAGGGGTTAAAATGAAATAAAAACATTATTAAACAGTAATAATGTTATCAACAGGCTTGCATAGAACTATATACTATCAATACATTTTTTAAGTTGAATTGATATGATTGTTTGAGCTAGTAAGGCTGGAGAACAAATGTGTACATTTGTGCATTACTATTGAGAAGAAAGAAAAGTTGTCCGCTCTGGCCCTTGTGTTTCCTCAAGCCACAGCATTCCTGCACACCTCCTAAGTGCTTCATGTCATCTCTTATAATCCCAAGCTCCACCCTCCTCCAAGATCAGTCTTCCTGAGGGCACAGGGTCAAGTTTCCCTCTTCTGACTGAATCCAGAGGACACAGACTTTGAACCAGTAATACTCATGGTGCTAAAGAAGTGATTGAAAAAAGCATTAATGGACGGCAAAAATGAAAATTTTAAAAATTCATTTAAATAAATTCAGTGTCAAATTCTACTAATGAAGACCAAAGAAAATAAAGTCTGAGAGCTCCCAATAGTTCTGAACACATAGAGGTTATTCTTGTCCACATTGAGAATAATACAAAAGAAAAGAGAAAGCCAGAAGAAAGGAAGTAGTGAATTGTTCATCAAAAAAAGCTAGGAAACGATGTTCTATAAAACATATATAGTGTAAAACATGAGCTGGAAATGTAGTCCTAACAGCACTTGTCTGGTATGCACAAGACCCTGGGTTCCATCCGTAGCACTGTACAAAGAAAAAAAATAAAGTATCTAAGAGCCTAAGAGCAAATCTATAAATTGAACATTTTTTAAAATTTTGAAATAATTATTATTTAGGCATCACAAGAAGTTGTAAATGTAATTTCACTGTGTCTTTACCTAGCTTTCCTAATGATACCATCTTCAATAACTGTAGCACATTTTCTCAACCAGGAAATAGACATTGGTACATACTGTTAATTTAACTATGAATCTTATTTGAGTTTCACCAGCTTTGACATGTACTCATTTTTTTGTGTGTATATGTTACTATGAAATTTCATCACATACATAGGTTTGTATAAAATTTCCAAAGGCAGGATACATAAATATTCACCACTACAAAGAAACTCCTTTATTATATCCCCTTTACAAGCAGAATTTCTATTTGGCTCTTCTTTATTTGTTGACAAATTGTTCTCATAGTTTCTTTTAGTTCTGTATTGCTTTCTTCAGGTCTTTGATGAAAAATCTCAATCAATAACCTTACCTTCTACCAAAAGAAATTAGAAAATGAAACAAAAGAAACCCAAAGCAAGCCAAAAAATGGGAAAGATAAATACTAGACCTAAAATCAACAAAATACAACTAGGAAGATAATAGAGAAAATTAATGAAAGCAAAAAATGGGTTCTGACTCATATATAAAATCTGAATAGATCTGTAACAAGTAAAGAGATTTAATCAGCAAGCAGAAGACTTCCTGAAAAGAAAAGTTTTGGCCTTGATGGCTTCACTGGTGGATTCTGCCAATGTTTAAAGAAAAATGAATACTAGTCCTTCAAAAACTTAAAAAATATAAGTGATGAGGGAACACTTTAAGAAGTGTATTCATTCTATGAAAAGAGCGTGGCCTTGGTGCTAACACCAAGGGGGAAAATGGGAAGAAAAGAAACCTACATATCGGTGTTATTGTTTCAGCCAGCTCTTTGCTCCTATTACTAAAAGATCTGACAAAATCAATTTGGGGGGTTTATCATGGTTTCAGAGGTCTCAGTCCATAC